TCTCCAGAAAAAAACTCAAAAAACTTAACACCAAAAAAATAAATAAATAAATGGACAAAGGAATTATGATATTTACACATGATTACAGAAGAAGAAATACAAATGGTCAACAAATATGTGAAAAAAAATGTTCAACATCTCTAGCAATTAGAGAAAAGCAATTTAAAACCACACTGATTCTGCAATCTGTATTTGGGGTAAAAATGGGAGTTCATAACCCACCAGAATCTAATGTATGAAATATGATATGTCAAGAGCTTTGTCATGTTTTGAACAACCAATAAAAAAACACACTGAGATTCCATCTCACTACAGTCATAATGACAATAAGAATATGAGTACCAACAAAATAATAGAAAAGTAAGTCATCTGTTGAAAACAATTGTGGTGAATAAGGGATGTAAAACAAATGTTTGGAGAGGAGTAGAAAAGATTTGAAATGGTTTTCATAAATGATAATTCTGACACTGATTAGGTAAATCTAGCTGTATTGCCAGGCAGTGTTGAAAAGCCAACTAAGACCAACAATAATAAATTAGTAATGCAATCAATTTAAAAATAGATTTTTCTTATAACAGTTATCTGTACTCATACTGTTCTCATTACTGACTATATAAAAGATCACCTACAAATTGTGGATATGCTGAATAATTTTAATAACTGAATTTATCAGCCAGACCCTTCAGAGGGTGAAATGTGTTTTGGTGTTATATATTAAATGTATTTATTTGTTTTGATTGCTTCTCTGAATGTAGAGAAATACTACAAGAGTCAGACTTTCATTGTATGCAGGAATGTGGCACCTACGCCCACCCCATAGCCCATAGAAGAAAACAACTCTGTAGCTCAAGGAAGTCTTGATGTGGAGAACATAGGAGAGGGATAAAAGTATTTGTTTTAGCAAGATAAAGGATAATATCATTCAGCTATAAAGAAGAATGAAACATGATGGCATTCACTGGTAAATGGATGGAACCGGAGAATATCATGCTAAGTGAAATAAGCCAGTCCCCCAAAACCAATGGTTGAATGTTCTCTCTGGTAATGAAGGGAAGGAAGTGGGGATAGAAATAGGAAATACAGTAGCATGAATCAAATATAACTTTCCTATGTTCATATATGAATATACAACCAGTGTAACTCCACATCATGTTCAACCACAAGAATGGGATTAAAATTGTAATGCTTGCATGCCATGAATGTATGTCAAAATGTACCCTACTGTCTTGTATATCTAAAAATAAGAAATAAAAAGAGAGATGCTTCTATTACCTCTTATTACAAAAAAAAACTGTTAAAAAATTACAAGTAGAAAGCATAAGAGCTGACTTTCAGCATGAAAGCCATCACAGGTTGTAATGAATGTCGTGTTTCCTTAACCATGTTTGTATAAATGATTTTGAAATGATTGGTTTGGAAAAGGAAAATAAAGTGGGAATTTAGGAAGGTAAACATTTTAGAAACATCGAAGACCATTTTCAAAATATGTATGTTCACTCCTCAATGATTTTGAGCTCACACACACACACACACTACTGCCCGAATGACTATGTTACTAATGCATTAGATGATTTGATTTGATTTGACTGAATTTGATTTTCACAACTTTATAGAATGTAATTTTAACTCCATTTCTAGAGATATGAAAATCAACACTGGGTAAAAAGTATAAGAGCCAAGATTTTATTTAGGGCAATTTCTACCTTCAAAGAGCATACTTGTTTTTACTATATCATGCTTTCAGAATAGACAAGATTTGAAACACTAGGATTTTACTTATCTTTTTATCTTCAACTGCCTACAATTTTCATAATCCAGAAAATTAAATTGGCCACATTTTCAAAATCCATTACTACACAATTTTTAAATTTACATTTATAATGATTGTAAATATTTTAATAACATATTGCAACTTTTGAATGATGGGTATATTCATTATCTTTCTTTTTCTACCTTTATATATCTGTGAGGGAGTTTGTAAAAAAAAGCATCACCAACCACAACTATGCTACTTTGGACTTGATGACTTAAATAGACTCCAAACTCAAAGAAAACACTACTGGTCCACACCTTCTTAGATCATCTGCTTTTTGGTTATTGTTGTTTTCCTTTTTTTTCCTATTTATATTGTTATGACGGGCTCCATTGAATGATTCATATTTCCTTCAAAACTAGGTCTTTTAATAGATGTTTGTGGAGAAATATTCCAGAGTTCAAGATTCAATGATTCAGAGATATTTTCTTTAGCATGGTCTCTCCCCCTCTCCTTTGGCAGGCAAAAGAACCAACCTCAATAATTCTTACATTGTATGGTTTATCTTCCTTTAAAATAAATGCTGTCTACTATCTTCTTGAAGGCTTTTTGTACCAGTTCTCCTAGGTCAGGTTACCTTGGTTTCACAATTTTATGAGTGGGAGAATAAAATCAAGTCTAACAGAGAAGAGGTATTTGGATTTTTTTGTTTTGCTATTGGGGTTTTTGTTGGCTTGCTTGCTTTTTTTTTTTTTTTTGTATAATGTGATTCTACATACCTATTCCTGTACAAGCCACCTCTAAAGAATGGAATAGGTCAAGGCCTATCCTCCCACTCCCTAAGGATCCAAAGGTTAAGAGTCAACACTTTTGTAACTAGTTCCTATTATGAACAGTTTCTTTGCTTCACAAACCATAATTTCAGCCCCACCTCTCTTTCTGAATGATCACTATCATGCAGGAAGTCACTTTCAGAGGGAACACAATTTTCCACATGCCATTCTTCTGACTCCTTCCCAGGTTTTGTTGTGAACAGTAAAGTAATAAATTTGCATTAATATATTAATTTATTTGACATTCAAACAGTATTTGAAGTAAGCACATACTAGGTAAAAAAGCATTTGCTGAGTACTCCAAAGATGTAGGAGAAGGAGCATGCATAATGGGGTGAGATTCTGTAATGAACAAAAACAAAAAGATAGCACTTCAAAATCTAAAAAAAAAAAAAAAATTGAAACAAGAAGAAATTTTAAAAGCCATTAAAATATTTAAACTATTTGGCACAACAAGACTTTTCAGTATATTCTAAGTAAAAATTGAGAAGTAGGATAAAAAAAGAAAAACTGTTCATGAAGGTGTCATTGAACCATTTATGATTGTAAAAAACAGAAAATGTCTAAGAACTTCATATTAGAAAGTTGTTTTCATATTTTATGATGAATCCATTCAGTGTAAATGATTTTCCCTTTAAAATATAGCCATTAAAATTTTTAGTAATTAGGGCTGGAGATGTAGCTCAGTAATAGAGTACTTGCCTAATATTCATAAGGCCCTGGGTTCCTGAGTTTTGAAAAATACCCAGTTCTGAAAAATAAATAAAAAAATAAAAGTGAAAAATTTGTTGATATGTGATGAATCTAGGTGCAATATTACACATTTTCTGTTAGTTTGAAATTACATCAAAATAAAAAGTTATAAATATAGCTCCTAGAAATAAGAATTAGTAACAGGGATATGCTTATGAAATAACATGTAATTTAAAAAGCATAATATAGGATGGTGATGGTGGTACACGCTTGTAATCTTAGCACTCAGGAATTGGAGGCAGAAGGATCACAAGGTCAAGGCCAGTCTCAGCAATTTACAGAGGTCCTGTCTGAAAGTAAAAAAATAAAAAGAGCTGGGAATTTAGCTCAGTTGTAAAGCATCTCTGGGTTCAATCCCCAATACCCAAAACAAATAAAAAAGTATAATACAAAGTTACACATTGATACAACATAACTTGTACAAAATATATTTATATATGAAAAAATATAAATGGGAGGATAGGCCTTGACCTATTTCATTCTTGAAATTACCTGAAGTTAACATGTTAAATAAAAATAGTTTGTTCAGGTAATGTTCAAATTTTTAAGAATATTAGTTCATTTTTTTCACTGAAAAAAATCAATTACAGATAATCAAGCATGAAATACAGTCTAAAAAACATATTTAAGAAGGATAAGGAGAAACCACTTATTCCTGCCTTTGTTGTACAGATTGCATATTATGTTTAAAAAACTGTAAGTAATTGAATACTTCTTGAGTTAAGATCCTTGAATAAATTCATAAGTCATTAGTTGTCAGTAATCTATAAGAAAGTCACAGAATTTTAAAGTTGAAAGAGGCCTCAAGGACCCCCAATATAGTTTCCCATTTTCTCATAAATACATAGGACTCAAGGAGGAAAATGCAATTTTTTTCCTTACACTACATACTCAGTTAATGAAAAATCTAAGCCTAGAACTCAATTTTTAATTCCTAGTCTAATTTTATTCCAAGTTCCAATTCTGTGGCATTCGTTATTTCTTACAAAGTAGTCCCAACATAACCTTCCAAATTTGTCTCCTACTCTTTCCCAACACATTAGACAGGAATGCCCTTTCTCACTTACATGCTATTCTTGCCTGTTTTCTTGGGTTCTGCTCCTGCCTACAAACACTACCTACTCTTACTCTGAATCCTTATTCTAAACCCACACACAGATAATACTCACTACTTTCCACTCATCTTCTAGTAGCCTATGCAAAATGTTTTTCAAAAGACAATACTAAGAAAAAGATTAGGTAGATTCTAGTCCCTGCTGTTTTGCTTGTTTATTCCACAATTTATATACCTATTCGAGCACCTATCTGAAAATAATTTTTTCCTGACAGTTCTTGGCTCGCTGTGGCAAGGAATAAGGTACATTACAATATGATATCAGGGGCAAAAATGTCATGTCTTCTTGGATTGAAAATTATTATACTATGTGAAGTAGTCACTAGTTTTTGCATAATACATGTCACCCTCCATTGTGTTTAATCACAGTTTACCAGAATAAATGAAATTCTTACTGCTTTGTGAAATTCCCTGTTTCTGATTCTGTTTCATAAGTCATACTATTGATTTTCATAAGTCATACAAGTTGATTCCTTCAGACTTGTTTAACAAGTTAGATTTTAATTACAAGGGATTTCCTCCTTTGACTTCAGCCCGCTCAAAGATACACATAAACACATGAGATTCATTTGTGAGACTCTCAAAGCAGTGGAACAGGCAGAAAAAACGAACCTCTTCATTATTCAGGGTTAAAATGTATAGGTAAGTCCTGTTTTTTCCTTCAGTGGTTTTGGATGTTTTACTATTTCTTAGGGATATAAAAAATATACAGAAGTTTAAGAAATTTTGGCTGTGTCCAGCAATCTTCTTGTGACTTTCAAAAACTTCACTGAAACTTACATATTGTGTAGATGTTTGATGTTTAGATAAGGTGTTTAGCTGCATTTTTACAAAATGAATAAACCTCAAGAGATGGTTTAGCATTTCAACATCTCTTTTAATAAGCAAGTGTTTTTATCTCATGTTTCACTCTTCAAAAAGTGATGTGTAGATATTTTAAAGGTATATTGTTTCAGAATTTTTTGAGAATTCTATATTTTGACTTCTGATACTGTGTGATTGCTGATTATTAAAAATACTATAAATTCTAAATGTCCTTTTTGAGAAAGTAAAGACAGTATTTGTCTATTTTACATACAGTTATGGAATTGTTATTTTCAAGAAAAGTTTGCTAATACTTAAGAAAAATATTTTTTGTTTTTTTTAGTTAATGAATAATTATTTTTATATACTTTTTCATAAAAAGCAACAAGGTATGGCATAACCTAACATCAGATGGTACAGTACCAATTAACACAATGAAAATCACTATATGTAATTTGATGTGTTTATGTGTGCATCTGAGTATTTATGTTGTACATATTGTTTTTCTGTGTGCACAGCAAAACATGATACTGATATGTCATGCTGAAAGGGGAATCAATAAAAACCAGGAAAATATGTGGTTATGACAAGAATAGTTGGATTTATTTTAATCTGAGCATTAGAAATGTAAAATCAAAATCCAATCTGTTTTTAGAAATGAAAATCTGTGTTCACTTGAATAGATAGTTAAGTGAAAAATGGATGACATTTTAAATTTCCAGCAAAGTAGAAAATAAAACATTATTTCATATTTATAAAATATAAATGAGGAAGATGTTAAAAATCTATGAAGTAATTTATATACTGCGACCACTCACATTAAATGTGAAAATAAAACAAATTTTAAAATTGTACTTTCTGATCAACTATCAAATGTAAAGATACACATGTCAAAAACTCTAATAAGGAATATAAAACCCTAATAAGGTTTATTGTATTAAAGTAGTGTTTATGAATTATATTTTTCACTATTCCTAAAATTTCTATAACAATAATATTCTTTTGGCAATCAAATTACATTTTGAAATGTATTTTGCTAAAATATTTTAATTTTAAAAAATTTCTCTGATTGGCTGGGGATGTGGCTAAAGCGGTAGTATGCTCACCTGGCATGCGCAGGGCGCTGGGTTCGATCCTCAGCGCCACATAAAAATAAGAGAAAGATGTTGTGTCCACAGAAAAATTTTAAAAAAGTAATATTAAAAACTTCTCTCCAATATTACATATAAGAGTTTGTGAGGGGAAAGGGGAAAAAAAAACAAGGGAGAGAATTAAACAACAGCAGATGGGGTAGAGAGGGAAGATGAGAGGGAAGGGGAGGGGGGATAGTAGGGGATAGGAAAGGTAGCAGAATACAACAGTCATTAATATGGTATTATGTAAAAATGTGGGTGTGTAACCGATGTGATTCTGCAACTTGTATTTGGGGTAAAAAATGGGAGTTCATAACCCACTTGAATCAAATGTATGGAAGATGATATGTCATGAGCTTTGTAATGTTTTGAACAACCAATAAAAAAAAAACTACATTTAGATAAAATAAAAAAAAACTTCTCTCTCTCTTTAAAAAAAAATTTCTCTGAGTTTTAAAAAACTGATCCATATATTGCAGCTAAATGTATATCAAACCATCATTCAAAGGAAATAAAGATTTAAATAATAAAAGACGTATAATTTTTTGCAGAATGCCTTCAATCAGTCTAATTTTTAAAAAATTTATTTGTTTTTTTATTTTTGTAGTGCTGAGAATTGAACCTAGGTCCAGGTACATGTGAGGCAAGCACTTTGCCAAAAAAGCTATATCCCCAGTCCCAGATCAATCTAATTTTTAAATATTTCCATCATGTACAGGAAATCTGACATTTAGTCAGGGCCAGCCTTACCAATAACAAAGAACTTTCCTTAGGAATTTTTATTTCTATAGACGTTTTGGCACATTTTATCTCTTAAACAGATTGAGTTTACTACTACTAATAAGCTCATCCCTTTTATTAAGATGAAACATCTGCAACTCTCAATTCATTTTTTTTCATGAGTTGGTCAGTTAATTTTACCAAGAAAAGATAATCAGCATTATCATGCTAAATTGTTGAAATTTTGAATATAGCTTAATATTAATAAGTAATCTTATTCAAAGATTTGAGGACGTGCGACTGGAAAATCCAAGTCCAAATCAGAATTTCCAGCAGGAAGGAGGAAGCACATTCAAATGACCTAGGAAATTTTTTAAACTCCAACTTTTCCCAATTCTTTCATATCCTTTGAAGGACCAAAGTATCCAAATCAGGTTGAGGAAGGGAAATGTAATTATATATTATAATATTTAGGTAATTGTAGGTATTTTTTTACCAAATTTTACATAAATCTTCTGATAATTCTGAAATACATTTGGTTGAGGATGGGCTCTCTTGGATGGTTTGATTTATTAAAAAAAAAAACACAAGGATCTCTCCAATTGTCCTCTCCTGATCTCCTGAGGGCTGACAAATGTTATGTTCCTTTCTTTATTCACCTTCTTTTCCCCTTCTCTGAAGAAGGAAATCCTTCTACAGGCCCAGAACCTGGAAGGCTGTGTTATTGTTACTCATCTGAAGATCCTTGAGCACTCCAGAATTTCTTAGTCCCATCCAGAGAGTGTCTGTATCTACCAGATTATATAAAATATGTGATATGAGGTTTGAGGAAACAGGGTGAAGTACAGGCTAGAATTCATAATATGATTTACAGCAAAAGAACCAATCTCAGCTCAGGAATAGACAAGTCTTAGCAGGAATCCTCCCACCAGAACAAATCTTATTTTTATTTACTCCACTTTTTTTTGTTTTTGTTTTTTGTTATGATATGATTAACTGGCTACAGAGGCATGCCAAAGTCAGTCAGATGCCCTGCCTCCCAAGAGCCTGAAAGAACATGACACAAAAGTGAGGAAAAAAAGAAAAGAAAAAACATCAATGTCAAAAAATGTTTACCAAACTCTTTCTTTTCCTGCTGTTTCAATCTGGTCACTGAATTGCTCTTTTATCTTTCAAAAAAATCATGCTTAAAATTGTAATTTGCTAGCCAAAGAATGTGTTTCTTCATAGAAATTGGGCAGGGAAGACATCAATATACGTTTATAGTCGGAGCCCAAAATAGTGTGAAGTACTATACAGTTAAAACTGTGATGGTTGTGTCTGTATTAAAACATCACAGACTGTTTTACCTGTAATTATTCCCTAAACAATACAGTATGACAATTATTTACATAGCATTTACATTGTACTAGGTATTTTAAGCAATCTAGGGATTTTTTTATATGTAGATCATATACAAATACTACACCATTTTATAGAAAGGACATAAGCATCAACAGATTTTTTTTTTACCTGCATGTGGTCCTAGAACCAATCCATCTCAGATACTGAGAGACAACTGCCTAAGTTTTTGTCTACAAATATTTTGGACTACATTCTCAAATAGTTGCTACATTTGGCCAGAATTTCCTAACAGTAGTATGGAATGGCGACTAGAGATGTCAGTATGATACATATGAAGATCAGCTGCAATCAGTCATTTGGGATTACATGTTTCCTGGCAATTCTCTCAAGTCTACTGGCAATTTTTCTACTAGAGAGCATTCAAACTAATTCCTCAGAGCTGAGCCCAGTGGTGCATGGTACAGATCCCAGTGGCTCAGGAGGATGATGAGTTCAAAGACAGCCTCAGCAACAGTGAGGTGCTAAATAACTCAGTGAGACCCTGTCTCCAAATAAAATACAAAATAGGGCTGTGGATGTGGCTCAGTGGTCAAATACCCCTAAGTTCAATCCCCAGACCTCCCCGCCCCACCTGCCAAAATAAACTTGTTTCCTCAGAAATCCATTATTTTTCTGACACTAAAGCTCTCCTAGCTCCATAATAGGCTACAGTTGCCCTCCCTAAAATAAGACCCGAGGTAGAAATCAATATCTACTATTTATTATTGTGGAATTCAAAGTCATTCAACCCAATTCCTTAAAAGATATTGCTCCAACTTGTAGAATCTCATTCTCTTGAGCAAAGATGTTTCATGATATCAGCTAAAGAATATTTTTAAAGTCTAACTGTAGTATATGCTCATAATGTATAAAATAAAAGCACCATCTCAAGTCTAAAATTAATCATTGGGAACAGTCCATTGTGATTTAAAAACAGAACTGACTTCAAAAGTTCATGTCAATGAATAATTCAGCAAAAATGAATTGTAGATTCTATTAATATTTATGATATCTATTTGCTAGACTTAGGAACAAATGTAGCAGTAATTAATAAGAGGATATGTGAGCTAAGAATTCAAGTATAGGTGTCAAAAAACCACTGAATATAATTTTTCTAACCTAGATAAGTTTTTTATTCTGATATATTACTTCTTAGGCAGCATATCTGCCTGACTTACTGCAAGAAATAAATTAAGACATAAGTTTTCTCCTCTGTTGGAATATTCCTATCAGCATGAAGACATGCCATTCTATTTTCAGTTAAACAAAAAAGTCCTTCATTTGACTCACATCCCTTTTCCAGCTATGACTTCATTTCTAATCTCTCCCTAATAGCAAAACACTCTGAAAGATTTTAGACCCACTGCCTCTATTTCTGTTTTCTTCTCCCATTCTATCCTTTTACTTTTAAATAATTTGATTATGAAACATATCACACATAAGGCCTAATTAAAAATGAACTTCCTTTCTTATGTGTTACTGCATAGTAGGATGACAATAAATAATGAGAAATATACATGTATCCATGAATCAAAATATCATATGGTACCTCATAACTATGTACAACTTTTCCTTTCATGTATTAATTAAAATAAAAATTAA